ATAAAAATAATTATTTTATGATGAAAAATGACAGAAATATCAGAATTACAATGGAGACCTCCAAGATGTCCGTTCGCTTTAGGGATATCGACTCTACATGTACGCATATTCATAGAATAGAAAAGAAATACTGTCTCACAACTAGCGATAGGGAGAGAAAAAAACGTATAAGCTGTGTAACTGAAAAGAAGACGTGCGCACATGCTTAATGTTTTACCATTTGTCGACTGACTATTTTATAATAAAAAGGTAACGATGGATCAGAATAAATAGCCGGATTTTATATTTCCATATTCAATCGTTGACAACATTGTTTTGAAAAAACAAAATATACCATCAGATACAGCATGAAAAGCTCTACAATCTACAAAGTAAGGTTTATTTATGTATGCACCTTTTTTTTCAAAATGGACAACATTCTATGCGACCTAAATTCCTTTTCGTAATGAATCATATCAAAAAGACATAATCGATAGCCGAATTTAGACAAATGAGCTACTAATAACAAGTGACAATTGTATAAGTGATATCAGTTAAGACAAAAAAGAAACACGAAGATCAATCGTATAGAGTTTTGTCTATTTTAAAAATGAAAAGCGTATATATATAGTAAATTCCCGAGCTTTTCACGCTGCATCTTGTGGTATATTTTGTTATTTCAATACAACGTATTAAACGATTGAATATCGAAATCCAAAATGCAGCAAGAATAAATACATCTTGACAAATTTTCTTTGGAGATAATATTCGCATCATTTATTCAACAAAGTGGGATTTGATAAAAATGTCGGAAATTCATAAGAACACGGTTCAACAATTTGCACAAGCACTCGCGGCTCGTCAATTTGATGAACTTGATAAATATTTGGAACATTATGTTGAAAAACTGGAAAACCACCAATACGTTTACAAAAATATTGATGAAGCACGAGAATATTATTCAAAGGCACCATCGGCTGAATGGAAAATTCTTGAATTTCAACGACTAGATACAAACAATGATACATTAACAGCTCGTGTTGCACATAATAATCAAATATATCATACAACTTATACATTTAGTTCAACAGCAAAAATTGAAAAAATTCACTCTGTTCCTGAACACCATCATACTGCTCATTAAATATTCATCAAGACATTATGTTTAAGGGATATTATATTCATTTCCTACACATTTTTCTTTTTTCAAAATAAAAGCTCGTTCGTTTTTCTTTTATAGATTAAAATCATTTTATATTTCAAATATTGCCTACAGTCAATGTCTCGGATCCGTAATACGTTATCTATCGGATTCCTTTAGCCACTATGCTTTTGTTTGGTCTTTGATAGAGTTTTATTTTAAAGATACTCAAAGCTTTATATTCCTAAATTCATCTTGAGTATTTTGATTTCGTAGAACTTTGTTTAGCCTTAAAGCTTAGTGAGAGTGAGGTGAGTGGGGAATAAATAGATAGAAAAGATGTTACAAAGCTAGCATAGCGCGTGTTGACTTCGAAAGTAGATCTTATCAAACGGTTTTTTTCTAAACTCGAATGGCTTATCAAGAGAAAATGAATTCTCTCAAACTACATTTCAACATTCTAAATTGAAACTTGTTTGAAACGATCTAAAACATTCAAAACAATTCTTTAGAGTTCTTCCTTTTACGAAGATTCAGGATGAGAGGTGTGGGTGTGGGTGTGGGTGGGTGTGGATGTTTGTGTGGGTGTCGGTGTGTGGGTATTGGGTGTGGGGTGTGTGGGTGTGGGTCTGAGTGTGGGTATCTGTGGGTGGGTGTGTGAGAGTGTGGGTGTGGGTGTGTGTGTGTGGGTATGGGTGTGGGTGTGGTCGAGGGTGTGAGAAAGCGTACATCTATGCCCACACCCACACCCCACACCCACACCCACACCCCACACTCACACCCACACCCACACCCACAACCACACTTTTTTAATCTCATTAATTTTCGAAGGGTGTGGGTGTGTACGATGTTGACTATGATCGCTCGCTAATCCACACCCACACATAGAGTCTAATCGAACACTTTATACCATTTTGATTGGTCAAAATGATTATTGTGTTGATATCACATTAGCTTTCTCTCCATCAATCGTTGTTCAAAGTATAGCTAATGGAATCAATGATTTAGTTCGAATGGGTGCGAAACATTTTCTTATTATAAATCTACCACCATTTGAAGCATATTCAGCTACTGCTGCTCCTAATGCAACTGTTTTATTAAAGAATCTTACACATGATCATAGTACTAATTAATTAAATTCAGTTATATTACTTCGAGGAAATTATTCAAAATATTTGATCTTTATTCAATTATATCAAATATTTTAAAAAATACTAAAGCATATGGAATAAATAGTATCAAAAAATGTTGGAACACACCAGATTATAATTTCGCTTCATTATGTTCAACTCCTAATACTTATCTATTTTATTGATTCATTTCATTTTACTACTCGTTTACATCAATTCATAGTTGATGCTATACGTAAATTACTGATAAAATAAAAATCAATTTCCAAGTATCATCGTTCAATTTTTTCCATTTGATTTTTCTTATAACATGACATATTTAGTAAAACAATATTCAATATTTTCTATTGCTCAGAAAAACTATTCGATATGTTTTTGATTACAAATAATAGTGAAAATTTAGAACTGCATTCATCTTTGTCCTTGGATACAAAAAATTGTTCTAATAAAATTTTTGAAACAATAATCGATCATAGATGTAGATTTCGTCGAAGGCTCACGTCTTCAAACTTCGCTCTAAAGTTATATGCATGTAGACAACTCAGCTCGAGTTACTTACGTTAAAAATGTATATGTTTGAGACATATCCATATTCACATGTGAAGGAGAATTGTAACTAAATTGGTTCAAATAATTGACTGTTCATTTATTTACAGATAAGACTTGTTTAGAATAAGTTTTGGCATTCTTATTAAATTATTTTGAATGTCATATTTTGCATTTTTTACACTCTCCCACTTTCTTTCATCTCGAAATAGGATTTGGTTTTTCTTGCATAAACAACTTAAATGTCATTATCACTTTTCAATACTCTATATGTACATAAGATATCTTCACATTATCATTCACAATCTACATATTGATACAAATGAAACAAAACTCAGGAATTTCGAAAACAATGAAAATCTTATCCAGAAGTAATTATCCAATAGATGATTTGTACTTCCAAGATAGCCGATTCGAGTTTTTTCCGTGTTAATTCGTTCGAGGAATTAAGCTGCACAAGAAAACTAATAAGTCACCTACAACTCGACGACCTTTATCTAATCATGTTATTACATTTGTCCGAACATTCAACTGGTCACAGGGAAAAACGATTCAATCCAAAAAACCGATGCAGATGAAATTGCACATTTTGTACGCCTAAACTATTTCGTGTGAGTATATGAACCACTCATGAGTCTGAGCTCGATTGATTGAGAATTTCACATTCTATCCGATGATGTACGATTCAAATCTATAATAGTGGGTGTTTCAGTTCAACCTACGACTAATGCTCACACACAATTACGTTTCATTCAACAGATCTCATTGAAGAAAAGTTCCACAGCCCACATTCACACCCACATCCACCCTAATTGCTCGACTTGATCCAAAAGTAAAATGGTTTAGTGTTAAAAAATGATCGATAGAAGGTATAAAATGACTAAAATACTTTCTAAGGTAAATAATACATGTATGGATGAAAATCGTTTACTTCCATCTATCTCAATCAAACACCCACACCCTCTATGGATGTATGTTAGTAGCTCAGTTGCAAAAGATTTTGATCCTATGAATTTTTCGGCAAGTTTCTTTGGAACACTAAAGAAGAAAATTTCATCGAAGGCAACAAAACTTTATTTCATTATTCCTTTTGTCTAAAAGTACGATGCAGTAGTACAGGATCATCTAGTAGCTTTAGGCTGCTGGTTTGTCTATACAAATGCCCGGCGGTCGTTTTTCGAAATACATATTGCATGTACTCGGTTGTGGCAGATTCTTTCGTTTGCAACAATCATAATACGGTGCAACATCGACCTTGTAATGTTTCAGTGCTTGAGACAATGAGCCCAACGCTGTTTCAGCATCGAGTGTTCCAGCACCTTTCCACGGATCAGCTATCCAATTACCTTGCTTATCATAGCAAGCCTGTGCACCGGGACCAGTGGATTTTAAGGAGTGTCGATAGCAACCCCAAGCACCTCCATGATAGTGACATGTATGAGGTTGCTTTCTAGCATCACATTTAGGATCAACTGTCCAACCGTCAATTAATGAGCGTGGAAATGTCTTTGGTACTTTACATGGCGCTGATAATATTTTGTCTAAGTATACACTTGGCGACGGCTGTTGTTTGTACCAAGCAAGGCAGTCGGATGAAGAGCGAGGAGATACAAACCATCTAGCCTCATCACTTTCGTCAGAACCTCCACTCGCTGTTTGTGCCACTAGTATAAAACAAACGGTAACAAGTAGAATTAGCAAACTCATTTCTGTGCGTTTGTGGCATAAATATCAACAAAACTTTGGGTTTAAATAATCTTCTGTTCTATTAAATCTCTACTAAAGCTATGATCCGAAAGATAAGAACTTCTTTAGGACGATTATCGGATGTGCTTATCGCAAAAGTTTCTTTTAATTCCTTCGAGATTATATTTGCTCGCCTGATAAATATTTTTGAAAATAGAGGAACCATTGGCTGATATATTTGCATAGGGAAACAGCTTCAAATATCAACTCTAGTGCTTGTTGGTCTTTACCAAAATTCAATGTTCCGATATTTGACAAGTTAAAGAAGTATTATCGTCTATTCGAAGGATGTTTCTTTACAACAAACTGTCCTACTGTGAGTTCATACTCTTTTAAAATAAATATAAATCATCTCATATATGATTCGATCATATGCATAGGTACTGAGTTGGAAATAATATTATGCAAGGAGGGTACCGCTACAATTTCAAATAGAAGATATGACGAATTTTATACCAAATGAAAGCCCGTCAAAAATGGGATTTATCTTTATATAGATGTGCGTGTGGGGTGTGGGTGGGTGTGGGTGTGTGCGTATGTGGATGTGGACGGGTATGGGTCTATGGATGCGGCTGGGTCGGTATGCATGTGGGTATGGCTGTTGGCAGGGATGTGGATATGAGTGTGGGCGTGGGTTAAGATCAGAAGAAGACCCACACGCCCATCCTACAGCCACACGCACACCCCACACCCGCACTCACACCCAGACCCGCATCCCACACTTACACCCACACCCACACCCTTAGTATCGGGATTCGTAATTTATTTTTAAAAATTGGCTGTTTTACATGGTTTAAATGAATGTGTTCGATTTTCAATTGAAAAAGTTAATCTTGATCATCGAGTTCTTCTAATTTACGTTTAATGCCACGAACATTATCAAAGCAGAGAGCGAGAAGTGCAAATCCATCCTTAGACTCCGCCAGTACATCATAATCAGAGAGTGAATTGATTTCAGTTTCGTCTTTTTTCAGGTAATCAATGCAGGCATCGAATAAATCATCTAGTTCATGAAGTTTGGCCTTTAAAAGAGCTTTAATGACACAATATTTGTTCATCTTTGCAATTACAAACTTCAAGGACTTCATCTTTAGATCAGGCAAGTTGTACTTGTCAGAAACAGTTATGAGTTCCACAGCTAGGTTAACGTCTGTAACGTTAGAAGTGCCCATATAGATGTAATCAATCATAGCCTCAATAAAATCAGGCTCCTGATCTTCAATTGTTAACATTCCACTGTTAGCCTCCAACATTCTAGATTCAAGCAAAGTGACAAAGTATGGCCAGTGAGTAGATAAGACACATTTGTGCACATTGAAAGATTTGTCTTTGACCTTGATAATAAAGTCACAATGCTTTTGACTGTTTAGAACTTTGCGCCAGTATTGAAATGTGTCTAAACTCTGACCACCAATGTACGAGTCGAACGGAATTGTAATTTTGCAGATGATTAGAACGTCATTTGAAGATATGTTCCGGTACCCAACAGCAAATATCCTACTCTTGGAATTTTCAGCACAGAAATACTGAGTCTTTTGGTTTACTCGGAGATTTGAGCCCAAAACAAACTCATAATTTGCATATAAGTTGCCATCTGCACAAAGTAAAACTCCAACACTATCTGCAGAGTTGATAGAACTAGTGACATTTGTTTTGTTAATACAAGGATAAAATTCCATGGCCCAAAATATTTTAGGAAAGAAAGGCATAAAAAAACTTGTCTGAGTAAATAACCTTCTCCTCTTTGGATCTAAAATTGATGACATTCCAATTCACCGTTAAAGCGTTACTTGTCTCGTCAAATGTCTTTTCCAGTGTCCCAATCTATTACAAAAGTAGATATCAGAATTTTAATTTCAAATCAAGTTTATTTTTCTCACCATCGATAACCAATTAGTGAAGAAGTCTACAAAGAATATTTTATGTATACAAAAAGGCTCGACAAAACACAATGGATCCTGGTTTTGTTCTTTCGGAATGATACAGTATGTTTTTCATGTCGCAGGAGTCATTCAGAGAGAAAGAAAAAAGTTGATTTACGTACATGGTTCCGTTCTTTTTGTGGAGGAGAGTCGATGTCTTTGCACACAACGTAGTTAAACAGCGACTTTCCTTGCGTAATCAATATTTGATAAGATAAGGGGAGTATGGAGCAGTTTGTTGGTTGTCATCAGTGGATGTTTTTTTCCAACTTACAAAAAAAAAACAGTGTTGATGCACAGGTGAAGTAACGCTGAATCGACAAGTGTTGACGCCTACCACAGTGAGAGGTCAGGCCAAAATGTGCGAAATTATTCTTTTTCAGAATCTGAACATTTGAATAAATACATAAATATGCTATCTATCACTTTGTAAAACCGCACTTCTCAAAGTTTTACAGTACCTCAGAAAAAAGCCTGCTAAGACGTAAGCTCATAATGTCACAAGTAGAGAAAATTCAGCCAATTGGTCATAAAACACAATATTCCACAAGCAAACGTAACCACAAAAAAGCTTTCCCATCGATGGGCCTTATGTTTAAAAAAATTGATCCAAATCAAATTCGAAATAAAGTAGAAAACAACAGATCCCGATTTTCAAAATCTACCTAAAAACATATCGTTCCGTATATTTCCAGTGCTACAAAGTGGAAACGCTCAATTGAGCGCGCACTTTTACCAGATATTTCTAAATATGTATTCTACTTATGGTAGTAGTGCAGACTCAGGAAAATTTTTCAAAGCTATTTTATAGATGATGTGAGTGTGGGTGGGTGTGCATGTGGATGTATACGTGAGGCTTTCTTACTACACTCACACCACATCCTAATATTTGCGTCGAAGTTTCCAAGTAATAGATATCACAGTTTATGGTGAAAACACATACAGATTAGTATCTTTTTTTCAAAAATTACCGCATAGATTTTGTTTCAAATAAAAGAAAAAGGAATTCCTTTCTAAATTCTTATAATTACTGGCAAATAAGTAGAAAATAATTTTGAATTAAGATGAGTAAGTTCTTTTACGAAAAAACACAGTGCTCTGTCTTATGATGAAAAAGAAGTTATTGATTAGTAGGAATGACTCTCATTCGAAGTGACACTATCAAAGTCTGATGCAGTTTTGTCTCCATCTTTTTACAATAAGATTTCTCAGTTGAGGTATGGTAAATATCATATCTACACTTAATACTGTTATGGAGACGGCGGCACTTAGCCACGAAATCCGATAACTCATTGGATAATCCATGCCCTTAATGATTCGCATAATTATGAAGATTGTGATTGGCAAGGATGAGGGTGTGGGTGTGGATATGAATGAAAAAAGAGTACACCCACACCCACACTCACACGCACACCCTAGAAGATAAACAATTTTGAGATGCAGATTATCCTTCGAATGCATCAATAATTGCGCTATGAAACAAGTAAAAATAAATTCTGCTTCTCTTCTTGAATAACATGAGCGTTTTGTCAATTACAATATTAATTTACAATGTTGATTTATATGAAACTCAAACAATGAAGTCATGCAGTTATTTGACGAGAATACTTTTAGTATTAATGATAAACTGTCTGGTAGAAAAACTAATATAGATGCACACTGTATATGTGAAACGGCTCGTTGCATTCATTATTAATAACTAAGTCGCATCCAAATGACTAGAGTGCGCTTGCCAAGCTTTTTTCTGATTTCAACCAGTTTTCTACAAATGACTTTGCAGATTTTTCCAGTTTTATTTGATTATAAATGTTGTTTTAAAATCTTCATCACACACAATCAGTCAAGATTTCTAGAGTTTTGTTCTAAACTAGAAGATTGAATGATTGTCGACATTTAAAAGAAGAGAAAGAAGCTCTTTCGTCTTTTTATGTTCTACACCGAAATGTTTGTGAACGATTCTGTGTGCTTCTGAGTAGTATTTTTTCGCCTCATTGGACTTGATCTGTTTTTCAGTAGACGTTTGATTTTCTTGTTGATTCTTCTGATTATTGTCCATTTCGGCTATTAATTTCATACAAATATCACCCAAATTGACATAGACGTCACACATTTCGATATGATCTGCACCCAATGTGGCTAATAAAATCTGCAAAGCCTGTTTTATATGTGCGAAGCCTGTATTGTAGTCACCCATCATTGCATGAGTAAGACCAAGAGAATTAAGAAAAAGTCCATATTTATAGTGTTGATCATTGAACTCTTTTTTGATAATCGCAAGTGCTCGGTCAAAATGAGCAATCGCTTGCTTATAATTCCCTAAAAGTAAAAGAATGCAATAACATGAGACTCTGGAAAATGTATCCATTTCCTTTTTCTCTGTAACTAACCGAGTTCATGCTGAGCTTGTCCAATATTGTGAAGAATTTCAGCTGCCTCTGAATGTTCGGGACCAAGCGTTTTTTCAATTATTGCCAAGGCTCGTCGATGGATACGTAGAGCATCATCGTCATCATTTCTTTTACGATGAAGATTTGCTAGATTATTATAGTAGATTCCTAATTTATAGTGTTCTTGATTCACACCGAATGTATTTTTGACAATTTTTATTGCTCTCTCATAGAGGGTTTCTGCTCCATTGTAATCACCTTTCTGTACTAAGATAAGGCCCATTGAGTTGAGTAACTCAGCTACTTCAATATGCTTTGGTCCAAGTGATTTTTCCAATGCCGTTAGCGCTTCATTATATATGACTTCAGCTGTTTTGTAATCACCTCGCTATAACACACAAAAAAAAATCGGTATAGGGATGAAGGTTTTATGCACACAAACGGATCTCCATCCATTAAAATAAGTGACGTTTCAATTGATACTGAGAAGAGTCTCAATCAGTGGTCTTTATCTCATTTAAAACAACAAGACAACTCAATAGTGAACTATAATGGAGGAAATAATTTCAACGCCTCAATACCTGAATTTTGTTTGAAGTGATTAGGAAATAGCATCATTCTGTAAACGAAATTTGACATATATTAATATTTAGGTTACGCCAATATAAATTGAGTTAGTCTCAGAAGCCATGATGAATTTTCAGGGTTTGGGTGGAAGAACAAAGGAAAATCTACACCCTCACACCCCACACCCTGATTTTAATGCATCGATATATTCATTGCTGCAAGACGCTGATTAAAGTCCAAAATAAACTAAGCGAGGAAAAGGAATCATTCATTTTGTGATATTAAATGACTGAATATGATTTTACTGTTAAAATTAATTTGTTCTTGAAATAGTGGAATACATAATACAAAATAAATCGATGTCAAGCTTTGAAACTATTACAGTACTTAGAACATTAGAATTCGTAAATATATTGAACTAATCATATTCTGTCTCTCTTAAACACTTATGCTTATATCCTGCTTTACAACTAATTTTGCTTCTTAACTTATGAAAGTCGTGCCTTCTGTTTAGTCAAGTTGGATTCGAATGAAGATCATAATGAGTTTCTCAATAAATTTTTGATCATGGATACTTTCGAAATGCTAGAAATGAAAAGTCGTTCTCTTCTTTTGATGAATTCTCTACGTATTTAGTTCATTCATTCGAATAGTTCTTTGATAATGCATACTTTTCGATAAATATCACCAATATTTCCCAAATACATTCCGATTGACTCATGTTTGCAACCATAGTAATGTTTCGATATTTTCAATGCTTGTTTGAAGCAATCCAAAGCCTCAGTATATTTCCCTTGTTTCTTCAAGATAATACCTAAATTTTTCACAACATCGGCAACTAAAGGATGATTATGACCATGTACTGATTCAAGTTGTTTGAGTGCTTTTATATAGAGTTCATGAGATTCATTATAATTTCCTTTTTTCCGGAAGCTATCTAAATTTTGATGCAAATAAAACAAAATTTTGTGAATGGTTTCGAAACTTAAACTATAAAACATGACATTACCCGCCAAATTAGTAACGATTTCTGACCAAAGATCCGAATCTGGATCAGCAATTTCTAATGCCTTCGTATATGTCGAAATAGCTTGATCATACTAAAATTGAAAGCATTATTATATATGAAATAAAACGTCGCATGAACATACATCAGAGCATTTCTTGGCCAGAAGTCCAGTTCCATTGAGAATTTCGGCTTTCTTATGTGACCGGTCATTATGTGGTAGAAGAGTAAGTGCTCGAGCAAATTTTTCTTTAGCTTCAGCATATTGTGCCTTTTTAAGGTGAATTTGTGCTGAAGCTAAAACTAATTCAATTCGTTGGGCATTGGATTTTGCTTTTAAATAAACATCTGTATAAATTTCTAATGCTTTATCGTAGTGACCATCATCTTGTTCAATTTGTGCACTCAGAATCATGACATCGAATGTATTTTGCGTACCTTTAATCATTTTTAAACATTGTCTTGCTTCTTCATAAGTTTGTTGATCATGAAAGGCTTTGGCTAAATCGTAGAATGCAGTGTCCTTTTCTTTCGTACGTATTTTCGGATCACTACATTCTCGTAACTTGAGTCGTAATTCGGACAATTTACGTTCTCGCTTGACCACTAAATTATCTGGTGAATATGGACAAGATTGTTTGTGTTGAGCTAAATCACTTCGAGATACTTTAGCTGAACAACCTTGTAATTTATAAGGGCAATTGAATTGGGTATTGTCAATAAAACGTTGAATGACAGTATTTGTCAGTAATACTGCTTCGGTCAATATTCTTGAACAGCATCGAGGACAGCTAGGAGCAGATTGTCTAAGCCATGATTGAATGCAAGCGAAACAGAAGAGTTGATGGCAACATGGAGTTTCTCGAACATCTGTGAGATAATCACAACATATGCAGCATTCAAATAGAGTTTGAATTTCAGTTGGTGTTGTAATCATGCTGTTCTTTTGTATTTGAAACGAATGAAACGAATGCTACTTATCAAACAATTGAAACTTGACGCTTTCTAGGCAAGAAAAAAAACATTACATTCATGTTAATAAAGAAGACGATGACTCACTATAACGTCATTTTGCCATACTGGGCAAACGAGTCTTCTCTCAAAATAATATAAGAATATGAAAATAAAATAGAAAAACGAAGCACCTCGTGCTTTTTCTGCGTTTGTTGGCTGAAGAAATATATTTTATGCTTGTTTATTGATACTAAAGCAAAAAGAACAGAACGGCGACAACATACGACTTACAAAGTATGAGTCATACACTGACAAAGAACGTAACCGTAATATTATTTTGAAATTAGTTGCATTCTAAATCTGTGAACTATCTTTCATTTTATCATATAGAGAAGCCATAACTTGGATGACAGAGTATGTACCGTCTTAATTTTTAGTAATGATGGACCGTTTTGAACTCGATACAGATGACCTGTAATATTATGCATGGCTATCTCGTTTCTATTATGTATAAGATCCTTGGTAGCTTTCGAACATGTTGTTAGATGTTTTCCAAGGCTTTTAATTGTATAACATCCACTACTCGCTATTTCAAATACATTATTGAAGTTTCATCAAATTGAAGTCAGTATTTCATATGTGATTAGAACATAATATATTCCAGTTTCATAGTTAGAAACTCAGTACTACTAAAAACTGTTCCGTATAGCAATTTTGTACTGCATATCTTGGGGTGAGGTGTGCGTGGGTGTGTTGAAAGATCAAATAGTGGATAGAATCAAAGCAATCATACGAACGGTCTCAACTAATTTTCAGGAATGCTATCCGGTGAATACAAAATAATTCCTATAATTTTGTATTGAGTGATCGAAATGACGTTGCCATATCATAAGAAAAAATAAGACTCATTCATAGACTGTAAAGAGTAAACTAAGCTAGAAGGAATAAAAGCAACCTGAGGGTGTAGGCGTAGGTGTGGGCGTGGGTGTGGGCGTAGGTGTGAGTGTGGGTGCGGGTGTGGGTGCTGGTGCGGGTGCGGGTGTGAGTGTGAGTGTAACATACTAGAAGGGACATCCACACCCGCACCTACACCCAGGGCCACACGTACCCACACCCGCACCGACATCCAGGGCCACACCTACCCACACCCACACCCTATACCAAATGAAAGCCCGTCAAAATGGGATTTATTTTTATTTAGATGTGCGTGTGTGGTGGTGGTGGGTGTAGGTGTTTGGATGTGGTTGTGGGTCTGCTCTGAAAAAAAAAGAGTTTTGCAGAACCCTTCGAAAAGGTTCTATAGATTTCTAAAAGCTTCTAATAGTGTCCAAAGTCTCAAAAATAGGATAAACATTCGACAGAACGTTTCTGAAGGCTCTGCGTTTTACCCACTCGCAGAACCATCTCTTACAGAACCTTTTTTTAGGTTCTGTACAGCAGAAAAAGGTTCCGTGAGAAAATACGAAATCTTGAGGGTTCTGTACAAAACCATTAGGGTTGCGTACCAACGATTGATGCTTTTGTAAACTCCCCCCCCCCCCCAGAATAAAAAGGCATGGCCTTCTATTATTCCCCCGTGCATCGGTCTTTTTTTAGTGGGGTTATATTACGTCTTGTCGGAATTTTTTTCACATTTTTCCTTGAAATTGGTATGGCGTTATATTATGTCCAGAGAATCAAATGCTCCGGGGTGGCCTTCTATTCCGGGTGCCTTTCTATTATAGGGTGGCGTTCAATTTTGGGGGGGGGGGCGTTTACAGAACCCTCAATGTGTTGTACAGAACTTCTAAGGTTTTGTAGTTTTTCAGGAAACCTATTTTGCTGTACAGAACCTAAAAAATGGTTCTGTAAGAGATGGTTCTGCAAGTGGGTAAAATGCAGTACCTTCAGAAGGTTCTGTAGAATTTTTTGTCCTGTTTTTGAGATTTTGGACACATTCGGAAGCTTTTAGAAATCTACAGAACCTTTTCGAAGGGTTCTGAAAAACTTCTTTTTTTTCAGAGTGGGTATGGGTAGGGGTGTGAATATGAGTGTTGATGTGGGTTAAGGTCCAAAGAAGACCCACACTAACATCCCACACCCATACTCATATTCACACCCAAACCGTCACACCCACACCGACACGCACACGCACACCCTCACACTCACACCCAGACGCACACCCACCCAAAATTGAACGCCACCCTATAATAGAAAGGCACCCGGAATAGAAGGCC